ATCATTACCACTATTTTGGATAATTAGAAATTTCATTATATGAATTAATTAAAATTTTATAATTGTATAAAATATAAAAATAGTAATCATAATTTTGATCATCCTGATTCATGTGATTTTGATTTATTGTATGAGAATTTAAAAGATTTGAAAGAAGGGTAATGAATAAATTAGTAGTAAATAAAAACTTATTAAATCAGGTTAATTCTATAATAATAATTTTGTTTATTTATTTAGAAAACGTGTAGAGATTCCAATTTATGATTTTAAAACTCATTCTCGGTACATCTAATGAATATCTTAAATTTATTATTTTCATCATTATATAACAATTAACAAGGGAAATTTTTCTGTCTAAAGATTACCTCAATCAACTACTTTTTATGGAGCAAATGTTATTATATTTGAAGGAGTCTTTGCACTTTATGATCAAAGAATTGTCGATTTAATGGATTTAAAAGTTATTACAATTATTTATTTATTATTATAAATAGTTTTTTTTTTCTTCAAAATTAGAATTAATTCGTTTATTATTAGATTTTTGTGGACACTGATGCAGATTTAAGGCTTATTCGTCGAAGTAAGTATAAATATATAAATATATATACATATATAATCAACAGTTATTTCAAATGCTTCAAAATCCTTGTGTATTTGTGTGGGTTTGGTCCTACCACGGGAGCTATGAATGTATCGCCCTCTGGAGCATTTCCTGTGTAGATAGATACTAAAGTGATGGATGAGCTTGACTGACTTAATCAAGCAGTCCGCCTAAATAAGCAATGCCTTTTGGTTTAACATCGATATCAATGGTTTTAGGTGTTCTTCCATTAATTAATTCCACAGTGCGATTTGGTGCTATCCTTACTGTTGAGGAATACTTCCCCTTGACCTTTTGTCTGATTGCAAAATAGGCAAGGGCCCGGCTTTTTCTAAAATGTTGACTGATTTTCACACAACCGGGAAAATAGCCTCTTGCTATTTGATTAATTAACTGATTAGTTAATAGTATTTAAAAAAAGCCACGCTACATTATAATTAAAGAAAAACGACACGGAAATTTAAGCTTAAGAACTATCAGGACAATTTTTAATCTTGAACGTTCATGTAAAATGAACATAATTTTCTTTGTAATACTCCACACAAATATATAGCTGCCTTCAGATGAATTTTTATGATTTTAATCCAGCATATAAAAAATGTTGCCTGGGCAATGTATGATATGATATTAGCAACTAACTTTCGTAAGAAAGAAACTAAGACAATAAAAGTAAAGACTCATTTACCAAATTTTCTGAAAAAAAAATTTTTTTTTGTTAATTTCAACCGGTTTTTCTGTGAACTGTCAACTGACCTTAGGTTCATGAGAATTTTTGTGACATATGTACGATCTACAAT